ATAAAACTGTAAATTGTGTGAGTGTGTGTGCTTCTGTGGAGGATTAGATAAAGACACAGGTGTGTTTCAGACACAGTTGATCCTCCTTTACTAAAGTGTTTTCTCTCTCTCTCTGTTCTTTGTGTCATCAGTGTAAGATCAGGCTCACATGTGTCCAGCTCTGTGTCTCTGAAGAGTGATGACTCTAAAGGAGGACTTCCACCAGACTTTAGTGAGAAATCACCATCATCTAATGAAAGGTATTTTGTGTGTTTAAATTACATTATAGGGTTTGTTATTTGTCCACAGTGGTGTGTGTGATTGAACTTGACTGTGTAAGGGGATTTATGAAACTCACTCCAGTAACACAGTTACACAGGCAGACACAAGGAGGCATAAATTCACTATGGAAAATAAATCATGCAACTAAACATGTCCATCCATCCAACCGTAGTTATAAATGAACAAATGCACAGCTATACTGCATTTAATTACTATTTGCAACATTAAACCTTTTCAACTGTTCTTTGTGTCATCAGTGTAAGATCAGGCTCACATGTGTCCAGCTCTGTGTCTCTGAAGAGTGATCACTCTAAAGGAGGACTTCCACCAGACTTCAGTGAGAAATCACCATCATCTAATGAAAGGTATTTTGTGTGTTTAAATTACATTATAGGGTTGTGTTATTTGTCCACAGTGATTGAACTTGACTGTGTAAGGGGATTTATGAAACTCACTCCAGTAACACAGTTACACAGGCAGACACAAGGAGGCATAAATTCACTATGGAAAATAGATCATGCAACTAAACATGTCCATCCATCCAACCGTAGTTATAAATTAACAAATGCACAGCTATACTGCATTTAATTACTTTTTGCAACATTAAACCTTTTCAAATGTTCTTTGTGTCATCAGTGTAAGATCAGGCTCACATGTGTCCAGCTCTGTGTCTCTGAAGAGTGATCACTCTAAAGGAGGACTTCCACCAGACTTCAGTGAGAAATCACCATTATCTAATAAAAGGTATTTTGTGTTACTAATTTTGTCATGCGTTGACTGCGTAAAAAAGTTCTATCAGTGAAAAACCAATCATAAAACATATTTAGATAAAATATTATTAGTAGTTTTCACAGCTAATGCGTATTTCTCTTTCTGTAAAATATCAGTTAGTATTTTATTTTACTAATGTGATTACAGGCTTCAATATGAGACATTAGACTCAGACCGTCAGACTCACAGGAACCACGAGAATTTCAAAGACAATCTTCTTGGGATCTTCCAGGTAGGAAAACACATTTTTATGAATGTTTAATATTTCTAATAAACAAATATGTTATTGATCAAAGAAATTATTTACATTTTTCTTGATCATTTTTTTTTGATCACTTATTTTCCTTTTAAAACATTTTAGCTCAACTTGGTCAGCATGTTATTCTTTTAACTGGATTTTGTAATGTACAAATGTTTAATAATTATTGAATAAATTGTGGTTACCAAAATTAGATGGACGATTTCGCTTAAATTGTGTTTTTCTGTCTTTTTTATTGCTTTTGTTTATAGGATCTTGAGAGCAAAATAATCACATTTCTGAAGAATGAGCTGGAGAAGTTAAAGAAAATATTACAACATGAGAACACACAACACTTTGTGAAGGACTTTAATGAGAACAGATCCAGGATCAAATCAGCAGCTCTTGATCTCACACTACATTACCTGAGAGAGATGAAGCAAGATGAAGCTGCTGATGCTCTAGGCAAGAGACTCGTGATCATCTGTCTGATTGTTTCTTATAAATGTAGGAGAGGAAATGAAGGCTAAAACTATCTATTTTCTGTTCCCGTGTTTAGGTGAGCTGTTCTTCATTCCTCAGCTGAAATGTGGCCTAAAGAAGAAGTATCAATGTGTGTATGAAGGAATGGCGAAGCAAGGTGACTCCACACTCCTGAATAACATCTACACAGATCTCTACATCACTCAGGGTGGCAGTGAACAGGTCAATACTGAACATGAGGTCAGACAGATTGAAGTTGCTTCCAGACGTCATGAAGCACAAGAGATCCAGGTTGAATGCAAACATTTGTTTGAAGCGCCTGAACAAGACGAGGAGATCCGAACTGTACTGACAAAAGGAGTCGCTGGCATCGGGAATCAGTCTCTGTGCAAAAGTTTGTTCTGGACTGGGCTGAAGAAAAAGAAAATCAAGATATCAGCTTCATATTTCCTCTTCCATTCAGAGAGATGAACTTAAAGGAGAAAGAAAAACTAAGTTTGATGGACCTTATAACTCAGTTTTTCCCAGAGACAAAAGGACTGAACCTTACAAGATGGAATCAGTTCAAAGTGCTGTTCATCCTTGATGGACTGGACGAATGTCGCCTTCCTCTGAAGTTTGATTGTAATGAGACGTGGCGTGATGTATCGTCACCAGCCTCTCTGGATGTTCTCCTAACGAACCTCATGAAGGGAAATCTGCTTCCTTCTGCTCTCGTCTGGATCACCAGCAGACCAGCAGCTGCCAGTAAGATTCCTCCTGACTGTATCGACCGGCTGACAGAGATACGAGGATTCAGCGACGCACAAAAGCAAGAGTACTTCAAAAAAAGATTCAAGGATGATGTTCAAGCCAACACAATCATAGATCATGTTAAACAATCAAAGAGTCTCTTTATCATGTGCCACATCCCAGTCTTCTGCTGGATTTCAGCCACTGTTCTCCAGAACATTCTGGAGGAGAAGAGAAATAATGATGTGAGAAACACTCAGGCTGATGAGATCTCTAAAACACTGCAGGAATCAAACATTGAAGACACTCCCAAGACTCTGACACAAATGTACACACACTTTCTCCGCTTTCAGATCCAGCAGAGCCGCCGAAAGTATGATGGAGAATACACACCAGATGTTTCCTGGGATAAAGACGCCATCCTTTCACTGGGGAAACTGGCATTTCATCATCTGGAAAGAAACAACCTGATCTTCTATGACACAGACCTGGAAGCCTGTGGTCTTGACGTCTATAAGGCATCAGTGTACTCAGGCATGTGTACCCAGATCTTTAAGGAGGAAACAGGGATCGTTCTTGGTACCATGTACTGCTTTGTTCACTTGAGCATTCAAGAGTTTATTGCAGCCCTTTATGCACATCTGTTTCTAGACATCAACAAGACAAGTGTGTTTGATCATGAGTCTACAGAACAGGAAAACAGAAATGAAACCATGATTGATTTTCTCAAGACTGCAGTGGACAAGGCGCTGGAGAGTGACAATGGACACCTGGACCTTTTCCTTCGCTTCCTCCTCGGTCTGTCACTCCAGTCCAATCGGCGACTCTTACAAGGTCTGTTGACACAGGGAGACGGCACTGATTGGACCAAAAAGGGGATAGTTCAGTACATCAAGCAGAAATTAGAAGCTAATCTTCCTGCAGAGAGATCCATCAATCTGTTCTACTGTCTGAATGAACTGAACGACCAAACTCTGGTGAACGAGATTCAGACCCACCTTAGCAAAGGAAGTCTCTCATCTGGTGACCTTTCACCTGCCCAGTGGTCTGCTTTAGTCTTTGTGTTGTTGACATCAGAGGAAGAGCTGGAGGAGTTTGAGCTTCAGAAATTCAAGAAATCAGACGAGTGCCTCATTAGATTATCGGCAGTCATCAAAACCTCCAGAAGAGCTCTGTAAGTCTTTTATATATTGTCATGTTTAGCTCTCAACTGAAAAATGCGTTTATCTTAGGGATGCACCGATCCACATTTTTTCACTTCCGATCCGATCCCGATATCTGACTTTGGATATCGGCCGATACCGATACTTTTCCGATACCAGACCTGTGTTTGCTTTAACATTATTTATCATTATTGTTGATTTTATATGATGCTGAAATAAACACCTCTCTACAAGCAAGGATGATACGTACGTATGTAGCCTATGTCAATATATATATATATATATATATATATATATAATAGATATATTAAACAATAGATAGACAATTAAACAAAGATATACACATTATACAGGCCTACACAGTGCTTTAATTTCAGGAAGGTCTACTAACATTATTCAGGTATATCGTCTAAAAAGAATTATAATAAAGTAATCAAAAGTAAAATAGCACTGCAAAGTTTATCATAGATAGATTTATGCTTATTAAAGCTGAAGTTATTCATTCAAGAGCTGTGAGTGATTTTCTCTTTGCCTTTGGTTGTTTTATTCTCAGTAATGTCGCAATCGTCACTTTTATACTGCTGCCCCTTTAAGAACTAGTGCGGATTTCATAGTCTACTGATGCACCATATTTTCTCCCAACTATTTCCATAAACCGTTTATGTCTAAAATGAACGTAGTTAAGTGATAATCTCCAAGCCGGTCGTTTTGACATTTTTGTGCAGGCTACATTTGATCGTTTAGACGCGCATATGAAGCCCAAAGTATAATTTGCTTGTCTGTTTCGGAGCGCGCGCCGCCCTCTTGCGCAAATTTTGTGCTTTTAATAGCTCTTTTTATTATTAAAAGCGTCCCGCAATTTAGCAACAGCAGAGACGGCATTTTACAACAATTACCGATCCTGCTGATTCTGTCTTAAAGTTTGAGTTTTACGGAGAAATGACACAGTGCACCGCCGCGATGGGAAGGAAGTTGGCTACACAGAATGCGGCTATTGTTTAATGTTTTTTTTTTTTTTTTACCTCACTATATTCTTTAATCTTTGGAAATCAGACTAATATCACAGATCTAAAGTGTAACCAGGCTATGTGTGGTATCTTCAGTAATATAGGAACTGAATCATGCGGAATAACTTGGATATAACTTTATTCTCTTGTGCAGCAGAGTCTACATGTGACCGGCATACTTTTCTCTTAGATACCAACAACTCTTACTCTACCCCGGAACCCCCACATGATCCCCAAGGTCAACTGCACCTCTTGTGGTGTGGAGAGGAACTGCTGTTAACTACACATAAATCTCAGTATACCACATCCCTCCCCCCTTAAGAGGAAACATACATTTACAATAACTTTTTTTTTTTTTTTTAAACTAGCCCCTCCAAATTACTCACAAATGTATGGTTAGGGAAATTGAACATAACATTGTTAACACAAGACATACACGTCTAGTATTTTCACATGTTTTCTTTTTTTTTCTTTTTTTTTTTTTTTTTCACAATGAAAAAATAACTCCATGAACATAATTAAAAGAGAAAGGAAAAAACTAGGAAGGTGGGTAGACTGCCATCCTTCCAGTGAGTCCCAGAGCTCATTCTTGCTCTGACTTGAGGGATCTCACTACTATTTCACAAAGTCTTTCAGATAAGCGGGAGTCTGTCTTATGCGCTCGGAACGACGCAGCCCAGGAAGTAAATCTACTCCTGCTTTTGTCTGTTCAACCACGGAGGAGTGTGCTTGGTCTGTCTCACCAGCAGTCATTTTCTCTCTCTGCACAATGGTGACGGCAGAGTCTGCAGGCAAGGCCTCCAGTCCTGTCTCGGAAACCTGAAGAGTGATAGGCTCCTCCAACCTCTCCTGTGTCGGCGATTCATGGCGTTTTCTGATTTGATCAACATGGCGCCTAATGACTCTTCCATCTCCCGTCTGTACAGTATAAGATACAGGTCCGGTGTTCTCTTCAACGACAGCCGGTATCCAACGAGGACCATGACTGTAATTTCTGGTGTACACATCATCCCCAGGTGAAAAACTCCTCCACTTACTGTGTGTGTCATGTTGTTCCTTCTGCTTGAGTTGTTTCTTCCGAATCTTTGACTTCACATCCGGCAGCAGAAGATCCAGTGTTGAGCGTAGCCTTCGGGACATAAGCATTTCCGCTGGTGACAATCCAGTCGTGGTTTGCGGGGTGATTCTGTAATTAAACAAAAATCTAGCGACTCTTGTTTCCAAAGTGTCCCCCTTTATTTTCTTTATTCCTTGTTTGAACGACTGTACAGCACTTTCCGCTAGACCGTTCGATGCTGGGTGGAATGGTGCAGATGTTATGTGCTGTATTCCATTCTGTTTTAGGAATGCTTGAAAGTCTTGGCTTGTGAAGCAAGTTCCATTGTCTGATACTAAGGTTTGAGGCAGACCATGTATGCTGAAGCACTGTCTGAGCTTTTCAATGGTAACTTGACTGGTTGCTGTACTTGCTGGGTACACGTCAATCCATTTTGAGTGTGCATCTACAATGATGAGGAACATTTTCCCTAGAAAAGGGCCAGCGTAATCCACATGCAATCTGCTCCAGGGTGTCTCCGGCCACTCCCATGGATGTAGCGGTGCTCCTGCTGGAGGATTTCTGTTCTCCTGGCATGTATGGCAGGACTGCACTTCCTTTTCAATTTCGGAGTCCATCCCTGGCCACCAGACGTATGAACGTGCTAAACCCTTCATTCTACATATTCCTGGGTGTGTGTGGTGTAGCTGTTTTAATATGGCTTTCCTACCTCTCTGTGGAACGACCACTCTTGCCCCCCAGAGCACACACCCATCTTTCACACTCAGCTCCAGTTTCCTCTGACTGTAGGGTTTGTACTGTGCATCTACCTCCCTTGGCCATCCTTTCAGACACCAGCCTCTCACTTGGGAGAGTGTTTCATCCTTATCGGTCCACTGTCTGACCTGTTTTGTCGTGATTGGTGGGTCCTCCATTACCTCTAACATGAAGACCTGGTCAGACTCGTCCTCTTCCCCTGTTTGTGGCAATGGTAACCTGCTCAGCGCATCTGCATTTGCATGTCCCTGCCCCGGTTTGTATATGATTTTGTACTCATACGCTCTGAGGAGAGTTGCCCACCTCTGCACTCTTGGTGACCCCATCTGAGGTACTGGCTTTTTCTCATGAAAGAGTGATATCAGTGGTTTGTGGTCGGTGCTGATTGTGAATGTTCGTCCGTAGATGTACTTATGAAACCTCTTAATTCCGAACATGATAGCTAACCCCTCCTTATCAAGCTGTGAGTAGCGCTTCTCTGCTGGTGTTAGCGTGCGCGACATGAAGCCCAAAGGTTTTTCACTACCGTCTTCCATGACATGTGACAGCACGGCGCCTAGCCCGTATGGTGAGGCGTCACAGGCGAGCAGTAACTCTTTGTCCGCTGAATAGTGACCCAGGACTTTAGCCGACTTCAGCAACTGTTTTGAGTTCTGGAAAGCTTCTTCCTGTTCTTTGTTCCAGACCCACACAACATCTTTCCTTAGCAGCTTATGTAACGGGGCTAAGCGTGTAGCTAGACTAGGGAGGAACTTGTTGTAGTAATTCAAGAGACCTAAATAGGCCTTTAGCTCAGTCACTGTGGTTGGTGGTGGCGCTTCTTCTATGGCCCTCACCTTGCTCTTCACGGGATGTAAGCCTTCAGCATTCACCACGTGTCCTAGGTATTCTACCTCATTTTGCTGGAACACACATTTGTTTCTGTGAAGTCGCAGGCCAGCGTCTTTCAAACGCCTAAGTACCTCCTCCAGCGTGCTCAGATGTTCAGCTTCATCCCTTCCTGTCAGAATGATGTCGTCTAAGTACACAGCTACCCTTGGAAGGCCTTGTAACAGATTTTCCATCGTTCGCTGGAAGATGGCGGGAGCTGACGAGACTCCGAAAGGAAGCCTATTGTAGGTGAACAATCCTCGATGTGTGTTTATTGTGAGGTACTTCTTTGAGGCATCATCCATTACAATCTGTTGATAGGCGTGGCTTAAATCGAGTTTGGTGAACTGTTTCCCTCCTGCCAGGGTATTGAACAGGTCTTCAACACGGGGAATAGGGTACTGCTCTAGTGAGGAGGCACTGTTAACGGTTAGCTTGTAATCGCCGCATATTCTGACCGAACCATCTGGCTTAAGGACAGGAACTATGGGCGCGGCCCATTCGGCGTATTTAACAGGAGCTATAATGTCCTCCCTCAGCAGCCGATCTATCTCCGCTTCTACTTTCGCCCTCATGGCATACGGAACTGAGCGGGGCCGATAGAATTTAGGCTGTGCTTCAGCAGACACCCGAATGGTTGCTTTCATGCCTTTCAACATGCCTAACTCCTGCTTGAAAACTTCCTCATTTCTCATGAGTACTTGCAGTAGGCTCTGTACCTCTGTTCTCACATTTTTTATTTCTTCCCACTTCAATTTTAGAGCCTCTAGCCATCCTCTTCCTAACAAGCTAGGTCCTGTACCTTTAACCACCACTAGGGGCAATGTCTTCACTTGCTTCTCATAGTTTACTTTCACTTTGGCCACCCCCACTACTTTGATTTTCTCCCCTGTATATGACTTAAGTACCAGTTTAGTTTGTCTTATTTGTGGTCGTTGTCCTTCATTCCACAACTCATTGAACTTCAGCTCGTTCATTATGCTTACACTGCATCCTGTATCAATTTCAAAATGTACCGTCTTCTCATTCACTGCCATCGTCACTTCAAACGGTTTAATCCTCTGAATTGATGTCTCCGTTTCCATGCAGTTCAATGTGAACACTTCCTCCTCAGATTCATTAGCATCTTGCTTTTCACACTCCACATTATAGGATCGATGTGGATGTGGACGCCGCTCTGCTCGGTATGTTTTCTCTGTTCTGCATGCTTTCTTCTCGTTGTAGCTGGCACTTTCTTTATTTCTATTACGGCAAGCCTTGGCTATGTGCCCAACTTTTCCGCAACAGTGACACTTTGCCTCCTTAAATTTACACGCAGCCGCGTTGTGTTGCTTCCCATGACATCGGTAGCATTCTTTATCTTTTTTTTTCCATTCACTCTCCTTTTTCAGCGCACCATCTGTCCTCACACTGTTGCATGCTAACGGTGCTGTATGGAGATCTTGCACGTTTTTACTAGCGGCCTCCGCAGCTACTGCAATTTGGAATGCTCTCTCAAACGTCAAGTCTGTTTCGGATAGCAAGCGTCTTTGAATCCTGTCATCATTAATACCGCATACCAGTCGGTCTCTCAACATCTGTTCCAGTGTTGCACCATAGTTACAATCATGTGCTAATCGTCTCAATTCAGCTACATACACACTGACGGTCTCTGTAGGCTGGCGGGAGCGCGAGTCAAATTTGTATCTCTGAACTATCTCACTCGGTTTGGGGTTGAAGTGCTCTTTCATTAAAGTTTTCAACTGACCGTAAGTTTTCGAGCTGGGTTTATCTGGACTCACCAGGTTCCTCATGAGCTTGTATGTGGCTGGTCCCACCGCACTGATGAGGATAGCTCTCTGCTTATCTCCATCGTCAATTCCGTTAGCTTCAAAAAACTGTTCTAGTATCTCACAATACTCTTCCCACGTCTGCTCCTTCACGTCAAAAACCGACAGAGTGCCTATCATCGTAGCCATCTTTGCTTTTTTTTTTTTTTTTTTTTTTTTTTTTTTTTTTTTTGTGAATCCTCCGGTCAATTTCTAGCCCCTCTCTCTCCCGTCAGCTCACCCTGTAGCATCCGTCTTCAAACTGACATATTTTTCATCCTTCCAATATCCTCGTCGCCAATATGTGGTATCTTCAGTAATATAGGAACTGAATCATGCGGAATAACTTGGATATAACTTTATTCTCTTGTGCAGCAGAGTCTACATGTGACCGGCATACTTTTCTCTTAGATACCAACAACTCTTACTCTACCCCGGAACCCCCACATGATCCCCAAGGTCAACTGCACCTCTTGTGGTGTGGAGAGGAACTGCTGTTAACTACACATAAATCTCAGTATACCACACTATGTTTCCTCTGTCGTCGCTCATTAAGCAGGGCTGTCGTGTTGTGCGTGCTGTGGCACCGCGTGAGAGATCTCTCTCTCTTTCTCTTCTGGACTGCGAATTGCAAACATGCATCATCACAGACAAATAGTTTAATTTATACGGCTTTGCAAACATTGCATTTTGCTGTCTTGCTCTGCTGCGGTGTTTCCAGTGTGAAGTATTTCCACCATAGGATTTCCACACAGCGAACATATTGGTAGCTCAATGCTATCCTGCTAGCTGGCTGCAAACTGCGGAATGGATTTCTTGAGCGGGCGTCTGTGTGTCTCATTGAGCCCTATTTTTTACAGTCTATGATTGAGCTGCACCTCCGTTCAGGATATCCATTCCACAGTTTGCAGCCAGCTAGCAGACTAGCAGCCCCGGGGAATCCCTTTTGGAGTCATTTCAGCAGCCAACGTTAAAGCGCAGACATGGATCATAAATATCGGATTTCTCCGCAGGTTGGATCGGAAAAATCCGATACGTGAATTACGCTGGTATCGGTCCCGATACCGATACTGGATCGGATCGGCCCCATCCCTAGTTTATCTACTTTATTCTATAGTGATTTCCCATCATAAACATGAAGCTATACCTGTAAAGCTTTGTGTGTGTGTGTGTGTGTGTGTGTGTGTGTGTGTGTGTGTGTGTGTGTGTGTTGTGTGTGTGTGTGTGGAGAAAGTTTATCACAACTTAAGACAAAATATAAAATACCATATAAAAATGTTTGCACGTTTGTTTTGTATCATATGATACACCAGACTTGAATGACTTATATAGAATTATATATATATATATACAGTGGGTACAGAAAGTATTCAGACCCCCTTACATTGTTCACTCTTTGTTATATTGCAGCCATTTGCTAAAATCATTTAAGTATTGACAGAAAAACACAGAACTGTTGACATTTTTGCACAGTTATTAAAAAAAGAAAAACTGAAATATCACATGGTCCTAAGTATTCAGACCCTTTGCTCAGTATTTAGTCGAAGCACCCCTTTGATCTAATACAGCCATGAAACTTTTTGGGAAAGATACAACAAGTTTTTTCACAACTGGATTTGGGTATCCTCTGCCATTCCTCCTTGCAGATCCTCTCCAGTTCTGTCAGGTTGGATGGTAAACGTTGGTGGACAACCATTTTCAGGTCTCTCCAGAGATGCTCAATTGGGCTTAAGTCAGGGCTCTGGCTGGGCCATTCAAGAACAGCCATGGAGTTGTTGTGAAGCCACTCCTTCGTTATTTTAGCGATGTGTTTAGGGTCATTGTCTTGTTGGAAGGTGAACCTTCGGCCCAGTCTGAGGTCCAGAGCACTCTGGAAAAGGTTTTCGTCCAGGATAGCTGTACTTGGCCGCATTCATCTTTCCCTCGATTGCAACCAGTCGTCCAAAAACACCACCATGCTTCACTGTTGAGACTGTATTGGACAGGTGATGAGCAGTGCCTGGTTTTCTCCACACATACCGCTTAGAATTAAGGCCAAAAATTTCTATCTTAGTCTCATCAGACCAGAGGATCTTATTTATCACCATCTTGGAGTCTTTCAGGTGTTTTTTTTTAGCAAACTTTGACTGAGTGAGGCTTACGTCGGGCCACTCTGCCATAAAGCCCCGACTGATGGATTGTTGCAGTGATGCATCTCTAGAGCTCAGCCACAATGATCTTTGGGTTCTTCTTTACCTCTCTCACCAAGGCTCTTCTCCCCCGATAGCTCAGTTTGGCCGGACGGCCAGCTTCTAGGGGTTCTAGTCGTCCCAAACGTTTTCCATTTGAGGATTATGGAGGCCACTGTGCTCTTACGAACCTTTAAGCGTTAACGTGAGACTCTTGTCTGGCGATAAAAAAATTATCGCCGTTAATTCTCACAGTTGAGTTGGAAGCTGACTGCACCACGCAAGCTGACTTTCACTTTGATATTTTACCGCAGATGAAGTCGAATTGCACTGTAAGGGCCATTTAAAACCAATATATTGAAAAGTCTGTTTATCCAGACATTAAGAAAATATCAGTCTATGCATTTTATATTTAACATGAGGGAAATACACATCCGTAAAGGGGGTCGCACACCGAACGAGAAGCAGCACCGTTGCCACTTCATGCGTTTTCTCAGATCGGAGCTATCTAATTTATCAAAACGATCCACTTTACACCTGGTCACATACATGTGTTGTTGCAAAACGGATATAAATCCGATCTTCAATTCCTATATGCGGATTAAATGAAGTGCACGTCACCGAAAACAACAGATGAGCTGCATTTTAATGATCATCGGCTATTTTCAAAATCAGCAAAGACAGCAATAAGAGAGAGCGGCAAGAACCCTGGTAAGATCATTTCGTTTCTTTACTTTTAATGAGGATTGTAGTGTTGAGTGTCTGCGACTTAATTACTTTCACTTTGATTTGCGATAGATTGGGGCGCGTTGGCTTGATAGGCGCTCAACTGCTCATCTGAGGTGATGCGTGTCGCAGCGCCGTCATACCGGATTAAAATAACATGACAATGACATATGGCCTATAACACGCTCTCACACGTTTATATTTTTTAGCATTTTTGGGAGTAGTAACATTTACATATGTGGTTTCAACAACCAGATGCATTTATACATGTCCAGTTTCGTCTGGAATGCAGCCCAGTCTACAGTACCTTCTGATGTGGTTTGAGTGATCGGATTCAAATCCGTCTCGAATGCGTTTCGAAGGGGATTTACACCTGGTCTTTTCAAGATCGGATAAAGAAAACGTATGAAGTGATTTCAGAGCATGCGTTAATTGAATGAATTGACAATCCAACCTGAAAATCCAATAACATCAGAAATTGTTATTCAAGCAGCTGATTTCTGTATTATGCATTACATAGGCCTATGCATTCCTCAGATATTTCATCCCTCTCTTTTCATTTGTATTGTAAGGAAAAGAGCTTCACGGACACTACAAAATGATTAATGTCGTGTTACACAGAAGAAAAGTAGATCCAATGGGTTTAGAATTACACAAGAAAACCTTATGAAAACATCAACAACAACAAAAACTGATTTAGTTATTATTTCGTGCTGTTTGAAACTAGGATTGACAATAGAATAAAATACTTATGATTACTCATAATAATATGAACATTCCAGTGTTAAATCTTGTATAAAACATATTTAGGCCTAATTACAAACTACCTGCAAGGTTATTTATTTGGGTATAGCACACATAAGAGCGCCTTTTGGATAATTCAAATGAGCCATTTTAAGTTTCTAGATTAATCTAGATTAAAAAAATGAATCTATGCCCACCTCTAATTATCACATAATCATACTTGAGGAAGAAAAACAAACAAACATATTTTATTCATATTCCCAAACTGGGGGGTAGAATGTAATTTGGTACAGGTGTTATTTATATTTCCAAAAAGTAAAATGAAATTCTGAAAAGTTATAGTATAAAAAGTTATAGATTTTTATAAACTTAAATAAAGTACATAATATATTACCACATTCGGGATCAGGGGGTGGAGATGGGTAGGTTTAGGTACTGTATATGTAAGGATGTCGTGTTCTGCAGTGAGGACCATCTCCATTGGCCACCCTGCTCTCTAATATATTGGCATCAGCCATTGGTGATGTACAATTTCATCATTGTACAAATACAATTTCTTAAGTTTAAGTAATCGTAGCTTTATCTAAATCATTAAAAATGTTGTGTCAAAAAGACATGTACATGTGAATGGAGGTAGTTTTAGTATTATAGTGAAAGGCCTTTAACTTGCCATAAAAATTTGAACTGTCTCATATAATGGTATCAGTGCAGTCAAGTCAATAATATTGTTGAATATTAAATAGGGGTGCATGCAGACCCGGCCCAAGCCTTTTGGGGGCCCTAAGCAGAATTTGATTTGGGGGCCCCTCCCACGACACGGAGTCACCTGTGTTTGACGATTATTGACAAAATTTCACGCAATAATGATACATTATGAATACACTGAGGTTATGTATTAGGCAACTACAAAATTAATACTTAAATACTTAAAATAATACGTAATACTTAAAAAAAATAGATGCCTACTTAAATAAAAAAAAGTTTTAACAGTCTTAAAACTGTCTCAAAACATATACAATTTATATACCTATTTAACCAGAAGAAAACTCGTTGAGATTAAAAATCTCTTTTCCAAGAGTGTCCTGGGCAAGACAGGCAGCAGCACAAATAACAAAGTTGCAGACATAAAAAACATATAACATAAAAATAAAACATAGAAGCAAGGATCATCCAAATAATTAATCACAACAACTATAGCCAGTATGTGTTGCCTCTATATCATTTAAAAGTAATTTAAAAGCAGCCAGTGAAACTGGTTCCTGAAGATTTAAAAGAAATTTTTTGCTAAAATTATGACAAAACTGAGAAATTAGAAACATAACAGCAAGGCTTCAACAATGATACTTAGGCCTATTGTTGAAAACTAAAAATATTACTATTTCTCAACTGTCTCAATACAGAGTAACTGACCTCAAAATCTGTATTATTATTATCGTAAACAGACTTTGTTAGATAGTACATGACAATCCAACAAAGTCTGTTACTATAAAACCGGTTATGATGTTCTGGCGCTCGTTGCATGTGTGTATGCAATGTATTTTTCCCCTCGGGGCTTGCCGTAGATGGGTCGTGCGCACTTGCTAGGCTACTGGAGTGTCGCGGGTTTTTGGAGGTCTGTGTGGTACAATGAACTGTCTGGCGAACAATGAACCTTTGGTCTAATAAAACATCGGTACCTAGTAAATCGTTCTCTGAGATTTGTTTTCATGATAATCGAATGTAAAGAGTTTTCTCTCTAAAAACTGTTTAGCGTATATTGCTAGTAATGGGGTTATTGACTAAGTAAAAAGAAATCGCTAGTTTATACCACTAACAAGGCTCAAAATAGCCCCACACTAACGCAGTAACATAATGAGGCTCCATACATGCAAAACAAAGCATTG